CCGGGCCGTTCCCCAGACGGCTCGTGCGCCGCACGGTACGGTGCGGCCCGTGCGCCGCACGGTACGGTCCGGCCCGTGCGCCGCACGGTACGTTCCGGCCCATGCGCCAGACGTCTGGAAAATCGCGTACGACGTCTGCTTGCAAGTATGCTTTGGAGCCCTCAAATCGTATGCAGCCTTGTCGCAGCGCTTCTTCTGGAAGGAGATGAGGAGTGACATGTTGCGCTATGTGGAAACCTGTGAGTTATGCCAAAGGAATAAGGTGGTACGCCGACCTCCCCTTGGCCTACTCAAACCACTACCTATCCCTGATGCTCCTGCACAATCAGTGTTTATTGATTTTACTGACTTGGGTAGGACTACTCGTGGGATGCGTTAGGTCATGGTCTGTGTGGATCGGTTCTCCAAATACGCATCCCCTTACCAGTTGAGGCTCGCGTTCCAGCCATCCAGGCGGCGTTTGCTGACAGGTGGGTCACACATCATGGACCGCCCACCTCTATAGTCAGTTACCGAGATCCTCGTTTTTGCAGCAATGAATGTCAATCCTACTATAGGGATTACCTTCATTCCAAACTGGATATGACATCTGGTCGTCATCCTGAACCCAATGGACAGGCCGAAGTGATGAACCAGATTTTATTTCAGTTTCTGCGTCCTATGATCAGTCCAGATCAGCAGTACTGGGATCTCCACTTAGGTCGTGCACAGCTTGTATATAACATGTTTGTACACTCCTCCACGGGCTTTACACCCTACCGGTTACATTGGGGTCATGAGCCACGACAACCTCTCAATGACATCATGGATAAGGCTACCTCGACGCTGACACCTGGAACTGCTGAGTTCACCAGGCGCTACCATGTGGACATTGAGCGTGGCCGTGCCAACCTGCTCAAAGCCCAAAAGGCCATGATTCAGCAGGCTAATACGCACAGATGCCCCTCTACTATTCGCATAGGTGACTGGGTGTGGGTACTCGTTTCTGAGTTGTCATGAGAGGAGGATATTTCGCCTAAGCTGCTGCCACGATACATGGGTCCATGGCAGGTCTTAGATCTAGTGGGAGCTGATCCATTTGGACCATCCTATACAGTGGATGTCCCTTTGCATTTACCAACCTACCCTGTCTTTCATGCATCCAAGCTACTGCCATTCACATCAGCTGATGCATTTCCAGACAGGCCTCCTCAGTTCGGTCCCCCTATTCCTGGCAAGGGATATGGGGTGGAATCTGTGGAGGATGAGTCAGGTATAGGTCCAAATAAGGAGTACCTTGTGAAGCTCTTATACCAGTCGCATACGCTGGTTTACTCGCAAGGAACTTCTGAAAACCGCCAAGTCTGTTATCCTCAGATATGAGGCAGCACAGAAGGGAGAATCCCTTCGACGCTCTGCACGCCTACGCCCCTAGCTCGGAGGTCCTCACTCCGGGGGAGGGTAGGTCTGCAATGACTTGCTGTTTTCTGGTCGCCTGTAGCCTCTCTCTGTCGAGCCTGTACCATAGGTAGGGTAGATTTGTAATTTCGTTTGGCTGAGGGCTAACTGAGAGACCTACCTGTAGCGGAAATTTGTGAGGGACGTAACTGCAAATTTGGGAAAATACAGGCCCAGCACTAACTGAATTTCCTACTGCTACCCTAACTGTGAATAGCAGGCCCGGGCTACCGCTAGGACAGACTGATAGACGGTATAGCCTATAGCCGGGTAAGGGAGAGGCCGAGATGCCGAAACGGAAACGGTACCGGTTGGTCAGTCAGTCCGGTCTAGGTCGAGTCTTGGCTAGATTAGCTATAGATAGGTTAGGCACATCGGTTCAGGGCTTTTGGCAGTTGGTACCGAGTACATCGCTGCTGCGCTACGCGTGAACCGGAAGTGGTGACGGCTCAGCRTTGTGGGAGACARACATAGCYAGACCTTYGGAGCRCAGGCCATAGCTGGGACYTGCGYTGTACYCTGACAGCACGCGGGGCTGTCAGAGGTCTGGRTTATCGAGGTCTGCTGGAGGCGAGAGAAGTTGGTGCCCTGCTGGACCCTCCTCCGGAGTGGGGTCACAGGGTTGTGGCGCTGCAGCCATAGCTGCAGCTTCCTCCTCAGAGGTCATCTTGTCAGGATTTGGTGGCGCWSCTGCRGAYTTCCACCCRGGAAGTCTTCCGACACTTCKTCATCATCAGATAYTGTGGCGCTGGTCTTCTTCTTCATCCTCTGAGTGGCGCTTGGCCTCAGAGGCCTGTTTCATGGTGGCGCTTCCCTTTGGAGGCTGTATCTGGGTGGCGCTTGATGTTTCGGGGACACAGGGGTAGTGATAGCGGTTCATCGGGGTTGGGGAGTGAAGCGCTGCTCGTTTCTGAGCAGCGCATCATAGTTCTGAAGTTATTCTGACAATTCGAGACTCTGAGTATCATAAACAGTGTTGATACTGGGCTTGGACTATTATCGTTTCATTGTTTCCTGGATGTGATCTACTCTGCTTCTCTTTATGACTGGTTGTGAGGATTGAGTGGAGTGAATTGCACTTTCAGTGTACCCTGTCATATCGCATGGTCAAGTCTTCCGCTGTGTTTCTCTCTCCCCGTGCAGTGTGATACTCTTACCCTCTCCCCTTCCTTCTGTGTATGTATGGGCATACCTGGGAGTTTATGTGAGTGAGTGTTGGTGTTCAGACAACAGACAACCAGAATCATAACACATGGATTAATGTGGTGGTTCACTTGCATTCTGTGCTACAGTCAGGAGCAATGAGGATTGGGGAAGATGCTGTGATTGTTACACAGACGGAAACCTCGCGTTCGGTGGGCTTCCTGTCCATGTCTTACAACGTTGGCAGAGAGGTACGTTCACGGATCCTCCAGCAAAAAAAAAAAAAAAATCCATTATTATAAGCCCTTTCTGAATCCGTTTTTCTGAATGCGTCAAAAACTTGTGGACGGCAACCGGGCCAGGGCCGTTCGGCCTAGGGCCAGTAGAGCATCGGCAGGCAAAGGGGTGGTGTGACAACAAAAGAATGGGAAGTTCCATTCGCCAAGTGCAATGATGTGTACTTTAGGCGTGTAAAATGAGAATGAATCTTTGCGAACGAAGTGGCAAGGTACAGTGCCTCATCAAAAAACAAAAAGAAGACTTAGATAAGTTATGTTGTAAGTTTTGATTTTTGTGGGTGTGGTGAGCGTGAGGCGGTTATGTTGTAAGTTTTGAATTTTCTGGGTGTGGGGAGTTTGAGACTAGGCCCAGCTCGGTCGTGAATCTTCCCAAAGAATCGGAAAGATACCACACCTCAGGGAAAAACAGAAAAGAGAAAAGAGAGACACCGTGTTGTAAGTTTGTCTTTTCTGCACGCGCTAGGTGTTTGGTGAGGGCCAAGTCGAGAGTGAATCTTCCCAAGCAAATGGAAAAATTTGGCACCTCATAGAAATAAGACGAAGAACCAGATACACAGCTGAAGAGGCATTCATGAGGACACTGCATCTCCCCTTGTTCTAAAGGAAGATTCGTTCACACAAGGGTACCTGTTGCGGCGTGCCCGCAAAAAAAGAAAACAGCAAAATGTTCCAAAAACACAAAAGAAAGAAAAAGTGTAATGAACTTCATATCATTTGTGCATCTTCCATAATAAGTAAAAGAACCTGATGTGTGTGTGAGTCTCAGCCTGGTGGGCCCAGATGGTATGATTCACGATCGGCCGGGGGGATTTGTCAAAAGCCGCCTTCAATTGTAAGAGTGCCAGTGATGTCAAGCAGGTGTCGTAATGTATGAATGAAGTAATAAGGATATAATCTGCTTGGCAGTTGCTGTCCGTTGGGGGCAGTTGTCGAACACAGTGTTGTCATGTGAGCCGTAATGCTGGGCATGCATCTCGGAGCATTTCCTGGAAGACCAAAGTCGAAGACAAAACCGAGCAGAACGTGTCAGAATCACATAATGGACAGCGTGGCAGACTTTCTCTCTCTCTCTCTCTCTCTCTCTCTCTCTCTCTCTCTCTCTCTCTCTCTCTCTCTCTCTCTCTCTCTCTCTCTC